GTTGAGCTGTGGGGGACTCAGGTCAAGAATTTCCGACATTGCCAGTTAAACAGAAGACCCAGTGCTATTATGGGCTACTGGACTCTTTTAGAATATTTTGCTGAGTTTACACACCTATAATATTCAAATAACGGAACTTAACAAAAAATGGGGTATACCTATGAATGTCCATTTTCTATCTGTGTATTCAAAGTGGTTAGGATAGATATATAGATGCATTCTCTTAATGAATAGAATGATTTGTTCTAATGTTGTTTGTAAATAGGATCGCAAGTCCGCGTATTGTACAGCAATTAACCACTAAGAATATATGTAGTGTGTTATTTGTTGAAACTGTACTTCCGATTTGATTTGAACTGTCTCATTGCTATCTGTTTATCAATAAAATTTTGAAAAAAAGAGAGAGAAAAAAAAGAAATCACTCTCTCTCTCTGCCTCACTGTTGGTAAATCGTTATAAATGTTGATGGTGCTGCTGCTGACCTCCTAGTTAAAAAAAAAATTAGCACACCATGTATGTGAAAGCCTTGAATCATGCCTAAAATAAAGTATGGACCATATATTTTTAAATAAATGCAAAAAAAACCATGAAAAGTTATGCTGCCAAAACATGAAAAATTTAGCACTAAACCAAGTTTACTGTATTAGTGGCGCACATCTATAATTTTGGCAGCCTGGACTACACATAGCAAGACCTTGACTGGAAAAAAAAAAAAGGACCAAACAGGTAATATTGAACTTGGCGTCTTTGCACTCTCACTGATCTTTTTATGTACGTGTGTGATAAAGGGGTTCAGTCCAGGGACTTTGCCCTGAACTACTGAATTACAAGCCTGGCTTTGAGTTTTTGAGGCAAAGTCTTGCTAAGTTCCCCAGGCTGAACTCAAACTTGTTTTTTTTTTTTTTTTAAAGAATTATTTATTTATGTTTGTGAGTGTGTGTGTGTGTGTGTGTGGCCAGCTCAGCCCACCAGGGGGCGGGGCTGGCTGGCATGTGGTGCTGGGGGATTGAACCGCGGTCCCTGTGCTTTGCTCAGCTTGTTCTAAGTAGGTGCTTTAGACCACTGAGCCATCTCACCAGCCCCCTGAACTCAAACTTGTAATTCTTCTGTATTAGCCTCCCAGAGTGCTGGGGTTAGTGTATGCCACCACATATGGCATTTATTTATTTATTTATTTATTTATTTATTTATTTGCAGAATGCACTTGCCAGGGAAACGCTTATTCTACTGAGCCATGTCCCCAGCCTCCTATTTTTTAATTAATTTTTTAATATATTTAGTACAGAGTCTACAGGGTCTCACTACGTAGATCCAACTCCTACTGATCCTCCTGTTTTCAGCCTCCAAAGCACTGGGATTACAGTCACATGCCACCAGGCCCAGTCTCATTCCCCATCTCAGAGCAACCTGGGTGAGGGACCTGCATGGCAGGCCAGTGATCAAACCCTGGTCCCTATGCTGTGCCTAAGCAGGAGCTTTAGTTTGCTGAGCTATCTGGTCGGCCCTGGCTTAATTTTTATTTATTTATTTATTTATTTATTTATTTATTTATTTATTCCTGGCTTATTTTTATTTATGTATGTATTTATTCATTTTTTGTGGAACCAGGGATTGAACTCAGGCCCTTGTGCTTGCCAGGCAAGCGCTTATTCTACTGAGCCATCTCCTTGGCCCCGTGAAGGCTTATTTTTTTAGATGGTCTTTCATTTTGGTCTTTTTTTTGAGACAGGGTCTCACTATGCAGTGCACGCTGGCTTGAGCTCACTTTGTAGCCCAGGCTGGTTTCAACCTCACAAAGACAGTTCTGCCTCAGTCTCTGGAGGGCTACACCAAGCCCAGCTTCAGTAACCCATTTCATGCACACCTGTAACCCCAGAGCTTGGAGGCAGGAGGATCATGTGAGTTTGAGGCCAGCCTGAACTGCGCAATGAGACCCTGCTTCAAGAAACAAAAGGGGCCGAAGAGATAGCACAGCAGTCTAAAGTGCCTGCTTAGGCAAACTTAGGTAGGCAAGCATGCAGGGACTGTGGTTCAATCCCCGGCACCACATGCTGCGCCAGCCCTGCCTCCAGGGTGGGCTGAGCCAGCCACAAATAATTAAAAAACAAACAAACAACAACAACAACAACAAAAAACCAGAACAAGCTTTACACAGTACTTACACAGACTGAATGTGGCTCAGTGGGACAGTTCCAGCCCCACTACAAAACCAAACCCAATCTTTAAGGACTGGCCCAATAGCTCAGTGGATTAAAGCACCTGCTTAGGCAGATGCAGGGGCCCGGAGTTCTATCCCAGGCCTGCTGGGCTGGTCCTGCCCCCAGGGCCTGCTGAGAGGGCAGTGGAGACTGGGCCAGGCGTGGTGCGTGCCTATAATCCCAGCAATTGTGAGGCCTGTAAACAGGAGGATCACTACGAGCCTGATCTACGCAATGAGACCCTGTGCACCCCGTTAAATTAAAAAAAAAAAAATTAAATATTTAACTCTTGCTTTTCACCAGACTTCAAATGGCTCAAGTATCTCCAGGTGACTCGCCACTGGCAGGTGCCACCTTGGGGGAGCCACGGCTGTCATACCTGCCTTGTGGCCAACAGCTTATGAAGCAAGAGCTCCGCGGGATGAAGCTCTGGGATAGATTTCTTCTTACTTCCAATGCTCAGGACAGGATGGGGCTGATTCCCTTGCCAGATGTTTAGTGCAGATAAAGGTGACATCTGGAGTAGCTGCAGTCACTTTGGGACCATGAAAGGAATATACTATGCCAATAACTACTACAGCAACCCTGAAGCCACTGTACCTTTCTTGGTTGGGGCAATAATATATTTTTTAAAAAATCGTTTCAACCAGGTATGTTGGAGCGCACAGGAGGCTGAGGCAGGAGGACAGCTGCAAGTTCAAGGCCAGCCTGGGCTACAAAGTAAGTTCAAGGCCAGCCTGAACTGTGTAACGAGACCCCTGTCTCGAAGACACCAACAACCAAGGTGTAAGTTGTTTAAGCTCAGACTTGATCTTCTGTTCTTGGGCTCAAATGCTCCCACACAAGCTTCTCAGAGGTGATGTCTGGACTGAATGTAAAATTGGGGAACAGCTGGGCAGCTGCCATGCAAATAGGAGCGAGGGGACGGCACACACAGGACACGGAAGCATGGAGCTGTTCCCAGAAGTGTATTTAGATGGAACAGGAGCGCAGAGCGGGCACACGGCAGGACAAGCAGAGGTCGGCACAGCAGCGCGGCCGACTTCAGGGCCTTCTGCCCTGGCCAGGATGGGGAAGACAGGGCAGGGTGGCCAGAAGCCAGGCCCAGGAACGGCCAGCCCAGGCACAACCAGGACCTTGGCCTAGCATCCAGGGAGGACACAGCAGCACTGCTGGCCCAGACGAGGCAGTGGAAGGTCAGAAGACCCACCCCAGCTCCCACAGACCACAGGAGCTGGCCCCAAGCGGCGGGCACAAGTCCACTGTGGGCCACAGGCTGGCCGAGGGACGCAGATGGAGCGGCTGAGGCCAGCCATGTGGGAAGGGGACAGGCGCTCCGGGGGCGGGGGGATGGAGAGACAGAAGCACAACTCAGAGCTGTGACACTCAGACTGGAAGAGGGGCAGACGCGGGTCTGAGCAGCAGTGTGTGGACGTCACTGTGTCTCCTCCTCCAGAGGCTGTGTGTGTGGCAGCCCAGAGAAGGCTGATGGTGACACTTCATCCGTCAGGAAGCTGGAGGGCAGGACCCGGAGGGTCAGAGGTGCTGGGAATCCAGCTGAGGCACTGAGGGGAGCTGCTCTGGAACTTTCTTTTCTGAAGTTTGCACATCCTTCTGGTCACCGGCTGGCGCTGGGACAGGAACATCCTCTGGAAATGACAGGAAACGGTAAGGGATGTAACCATGTTGCCAACACCCAACCCTTCCCCGTCAGGCCCGGGGTCCAGGCCGTGGCTCTTGCGCCTGGCCCAGGGTAGCACCTGTGTCGGGGTGGAACTTGAGTGGTCCCTCGGGGTTGGCAGGGGCTGGGTTCTGGTCCTGCTGCTGCTGCTGCTGCTGCTTCCTCTGCTCCATCTGCAGAACAGCCTGCCAGAGTGGTGACACAGAAGAGATTCCCACATTGCAATTCCTAGATGCCCCAGCCTCAGTCCCTAAGCTGAGACCCCACAGCCACCTGTTAAGTGATTCCAGTCAGGTTCCTTCTTTGCATGCCTCAGTTTTTCTTTCTGATGTTGGGCTTAATTTTAGTTAATCCCAGTTCTTTGACATCATGCCTGCATCCCAGTAAAGCCCTCACTGACCCCTTCTGTCGCCTATCTGTCTTGCTTCCTCCTTACATGGCAGCTGTAGCACCGTAGGGGACAGGGACAAAGCCAACCTCACGAAGGTGCTCTATCACTTGGGCGCCTAGCAGCCTCCGGGGGCCCCACCACCTGCCATCACCTGCTGTAGCTCTCGCCTCTGGGCCACCAGCTGGTCCTGTGACCGCCCAAGGGCCTCGGTCTCCTGACTGAGTCGCTGGGCCTGGGCATTCAGCTCAGCCTCACGGGCGGCCAGCTCTTCCTCGAAGCGCCTCAGTTCCTCCTCCGTGTACGCGGGGTGCATTTCCACAGTCTGTGGGGTGGGGACAGGGCCATGAGCGAGGATAAGGAGAGCCTTGGCCACCATAATGAAGAGGGGCAGCCAAGGGCCCTAGTGGAAGCTATGAGACCTGGCGGGAGATGAGGTATAGGGTAAAGGGGGACAGGAGGAACAGAGGCCCAGGGTCAGGGACAGAGACCTTAGATGAGGGACTGGATCTGAGAGCAGGACAGAAACCGTAGATGGGCACAGGATGGGTACAGATGCCTGGGAGGGTGGGACAGAGGTCCATGGAGGTGACTGAGATCCTGAGAGGGTTTTACTGGGGAAGAGCTATGAGGCCCCAAAGTGACCCATATCCTTACCTCCCATCCTTCCCCGGTGTCCCCAAACTCCTTCCTCTGGGTGGATGCTAGAAACTCTTCCAGAGTCACGAGGCGGTCCTGGTTGGTGTCCACCTGGAGAACCAGATTCAAGTAAGGGCAGAGCAGGGGTCCGCACCCCCACCCTGCCGCCTGGTCCTGCCGCGCACATTCTTCATCACGTGCTCCCGCATGCGCAGCCGCTCCTCTTCCATCTCTCGCATGTCGTCCTCCTCGTTCTTTGGGTCATACACCTTCTCCAGCTGCACAGCCAAGAAAAGTGAGAGGTACCAAGTGGATAAGCAAACCCCCCCCATACCAGGTGACTTCAACTCCCAGCAGGCCCTGGGGTGCACTGCCACGCCCCACATCTCTTCTCTGCCCCCACAGGGCCTCCTGGGAATTGTAGTTTCCCCTCATCACTCCCTTTGGAGCCCTTTGCGGACAGAGAAGTTCCCTGAGAGGGCACAGGTAGCTTTGGATGTTCCTGCCCCTATTGCACTATGCGACTATGGTGGCAGAGAATGAAACATTACTTGGAGAAGGCCAGAGGCACTCTCAATCAGGGGTACCAAGGTGGCGTTAGGGAGACTCCCAGAAGCATGGACGCTCTGGGGCTTTTAGAACTGTCTCAAGGATAGGCTGTTTTCTAGGGGAAAGGACAAAAGCCATACAACGAGTTTCTGTAGTCTAAACTTATTGTTGCCTAACCTCACACTCCTCACAAAGCCTGCGTGCTTCTGCCCTACAGTCTAAGCATTCCCTCCTCGGCCAACTCCCCCACACAGCCCGCAACCCTCACCTCCTTGGTGAAGAGGGCCTCCAGCTCCTGCTCATCCAAGACCCCGTCGCTGTTGATATCTGAGAGGAAACAAGGTATATCAGAGGACCGGGACAGGGTGCATTTGATCGCCAGGGGACAATGATCAAGGATGCTGGGCTGCAGTAGGGCTTTTTATTTTATTTATTTATGTGTGTGTGTGTGTGTGTGTGTGTGTGTGGCCAGCTCAGCCCACCAGCGGGCGGGGCTGGCTGGCATGTGGTGCTGGGGATCGAACCGTGGTCCCTGTGCTTTGCTAAGCTTGTTCTAAGTAGGTGCTTTAGACCACTGAGCCATGTCACCAGCCCCATGCAGTAGGGCTTTTTAGCAGAGGACAGGCAAGGAGCACCATGGCACTAGGACAGCCACTCCCTCATGACCATAGTCCTAAGAGCAGACGAGGAGACAAGGTCTGGTTCGCTTCACACCGGACTCTATCTCTAGCACCTGGTATCCAATGTCCTCCAGGGAACCAGGCTGCCGCAACTCAGGCTGCCCGGGCAGTTGACACAGCTGCAGGCCCCTGGCCCCAATGGCTGTACTGGACCTACCCACATTCTTCCCCTGCTGAGGTGTCAGGAAGCCTGACCTTGCGAATGAATGTTTAATTTTCAGCCTGCATTTTATTTTTTATGTATTTATGTATTTATTTTGTGGTACCGGGGATTGAACTCAGGACCTTACCCTTGCCAGGCAAGCACTTTTTCTACTGAGCTATCTCCCCGCCCCTCCTGCATTTTACTTGAGGCTGCCAGCACTGTCCCGTGCCCTCTGGCCTCCCCTCCAATCTCCTTTGCCAGATACAGGCTTGTGCGGAGGATGCTGCGGCTTCAGAGCTTGTGTCTGCAGTCGTCTAGAGTCGCATAATGATGTGAGCCCACGGCCTGGCACAGGTGCAGGCTAGGTGCATGGTAACCATGGTAACTGTGACGCAGCTGCTGCAAAGCACGTATGCCCTGGGTAGGCCCCGCGAGAGCAATGTCAACAGGTGATAATCACATGTTCGTAAGGAATAAACAACACAGTCACAGCTGCTCATTCTTTCTGCTGCCCGCTTTCTGAGCGGATGCCTGCCCTTCACGCCTTCTTTCCCCTGGGGAGCTCCCCTGCTGAAGTACCTATGCAGGCCCCCAGCCACAACTGTCACAACTGGAAGGATGACAAGGAAGAGGACTGGGATGTGTGGAGTCTGGGGCGCGTCTTGAGAGCCTTACAGGTGACAGGCCCAGATCCCTCCCTCCCGTGGGAGTCGGTAGGGCAGGTGGCTTGGTTTTTCTTTACCCTTTTTTTCCACATGGAGCAAGAAGCAGAAGCCCTCACTAAGCAAGCAGCTAGCTGAGGCCGAGTGACAGGACCGGGAGCAACAGCCGGCTGCACCCACTGGACAGGCACACAGTACAGCCTCCTCCTCGCAGCTCTCATAAGCCTAAGTCCCTCCTCGGAGGAGTCCCAGGGGGCCCCCTGCTTTTGCATGCAAGGCCTGCTATTTGCCAGAAGGTGGAGTTGGAGGAACCCCTAACCCCAGGAGGAGGACAGGGAGGCCAGCCCACCTCTTCAGGCGCACAAAGTACAGGAAGTTCTGCGGGAAGTACAGAAACAGCCCCGCAAGGCGGCGGTAACCACTTTTTTTTTTCTGCTGCTTTTTTTTTTTTTTTTTTTTTTGGAACCGGGGATTGAACTCAGGCCCTTGAGCTTGCTTCCCAGCCCCTAAGGTTTTTTGTTTTGTTTTGTTTTTGGCTCCGAATGCCTTCAGGGCAGGTTTGGCTGGCTTGAGTTGTGGGATGAACCACAGCAACCTAAGCCTGACTGCTTTGTTGAAGCAGCCACTTAAAGAATTGAGCTAGGGCTGGTGAGATGGCTCAGTAGTCTAAAGCACCTACTTAGAACAAGCTGAACAAAGCACAGGGACCGCGGTTCAATCCCCCAGCACC